GCAAAAGCTTCATTGAAAATATTTATTATCTGCATCAAAGAAAAAGTTGATTTCAGCAAAATATAAAATATTTTAATTGTATCTTTTAATAATTTTATTTTTATCAGTTTACTAGAAATCTCTTATTTTTTCCATTCCATCAACCAATAAACTAATAATAAAATATATTCCATAGGCAAATATAGATGATTCACATGGCTGGTTATATGTAAAATATAATCTAATTCAATCTGCAACCCTTTGCACATTTTCCAAGTATACCCACAGAGATAGTTCGTTCGACTGCGCGAGTGTGTGTGGGTATGTGTGTATGTGTTTGTGATTCACTAACTAGTTAGCTTGTACTAAGTCTCACATAGTTTTGGTCTTTTGGTCTAGAGCCTCAAGGCAGTCACTGCATAATTGTGAACGCATAAATCTTTGTCTCTTTTGTTTTCGAGATTTCTATCTTAATTGAAGCTCATTAAAATATGCGTTTCCTACGTCTCCAACATAGTTAAACGCAACTTGTGTTACCTCAGCTAGCTGCTGGCTGTTGGCTGTGGCTGTGGCTGCTCGRCGCTGGCTGATCGAGCCCAGCTATATGTCCATTCATGGAGTTCGAATCGAACCGATGTATCCGACCGTATTCAAATGGCGACTTGGCTGGAGATCGAATTCGAGCACTTGAGCAACGACTTCTGCCGCTGCTGCTGCTGCTGCTGCTTGGTGGCTGGAGATCAGATCGCAATCAGCGCCGAAGCCAGCACAAATCCAATACGAGCTCGGCAAGGGCCCACCGCGAATGAATTATTAATAATAAATAAATCATTATTAAAATCAAAATAATACGCAAATATGCATATTATACGACAGCCCAAACACACACTAACACACACACACGCACACAGATACAGCCACAGATATATATACTCATATTCGGATCCACCACATAGATGGCCATGTCCAAAACTTCATGGCGTTGGCAACTCGTGTTTCTTTTCATGTTTACGCCACTTTCTCATATGCACACACACACACACACACACACACACATACAATTACACCTATGGATATGCGTGTGTGTGTGTGGTTGTGTATGCATCTGTGCCTGTACACAAGTGGTTATAATGAATGATTTGTTGTTTTATAATAAACACGCCGAACGGCGTCGCAGTCGGCGTCGCTGCTATGACGTATGTTGGGGACCTGGGCCCCAAGACAATTTCTTCTGTTGGCCACTGCGGCGCTGCCCTTAAAGCCAAGGCAACCCTGGTTGCTTGCTTGCCGCYCTCCTCCCTCTCCCTGTCTACTCCTCTCTCACCCTCTCTCTCTCTCTCTTCCCCATTTACAGTTGACCCTTTGGCATGGCGCGTTTTCGATGCAGTTCTACATGTGAGTGTGTGCGTGTGTTTGTTTGTGTGTGTGTTTGTGCTTCTTACCGGGGCCGTGTTGTTGTTTTTATTAGGTATCAAAAACACCTTAAAACATGATTTTGCAACTGCCAAGAAGCGGCCAACGAACAATGGCACAAGAGCAAACAATTTGAACAAATGAATGAATGAATGAGAATGAATATATTTTAAAGTAAAAATATTATATAATAATAATATAAGAATAGTGAAAGGAAATTATATACGAATATTTCATATTTCTGAGCTGCTGAAGCATTTAATTTGAAATATTAAAAACTGTTTTTGCTGAGCTATTTTTAGTATGAACTCCAAAAAGTAATTAGCAGTATTAGCCAATTATATTATCGAAATGGAAATGGAAATATTTTAATAATAATATGTGATTTATAAATTGAAATACAGAAAAAAAAAAATAAATAAATATACCAATATACAATACTTTACATTTTTTTTTTAAGTTGTGTATTTTAAAAAATCATAAGTTTAGTATTTTGAAATACAAATTTATTGTTTAAAAAAATTATGGATTCAATTTTGGTTTTAGATTTTTTAAATAAAATTTTTTCAGTATTGGCATTTTGCTTTTTTTCTATAAGAAATATAATTTTAATATTTTAGAATTTAAATTATGTTGCTCTATAAA